AAAAAAAAAAAAGGCAAATGCGACAGCGGGGGAAAGCGATATGTAATGTGAGTCCACGCACCATGTTGGCCAATACCGCCTGCTCAAAGCAACTCGTGCAGCATCTCGGCCGTGACGATGCCGTCCGGGACGTCCGCCCCCGCCACCGCCTTTGTTGAGTGCGGCTGCTGCTCTTGTTCTTGCTGTTGCCGCAGCGCATCGCAGGCGATTAGGGCGTGTTGAATGGCATCCACGAGTTCACACGTGGCATGGCCACGGCTCCGCAATTCGCTCGCGAATGTCATCCACTCGTGAAGGCGCTCGTCGCTGCGTGGCTGCGGCGACTTCGCCTCCGCCCGCAGCGGTGAGGCGAGCCACCACTCGTGTGAGACGCCAAAGTGCACGAGGAAGCGGTCATAGTCCAGCAGCAGCGAGGTCACGGCGTGCCAATCGCCCTGCTGCGCGAGCGCACGAAAGACGACGCTGAAGACGCCGGAGGTGCCAATGATGAGGTGACCTTCCTTCTTCTGCAGGCGATGGAAAGTGTCGAGCGCGCGCTTCCACTGCTTGTCGCGCAGGAGCGACTCCATAAGGGCGGCAGTCGTCGCCGCTGTCTCCTTCACCCCATAATGCGGCCAGTTCTTCGCGAAGACGTCAAGCGCGTGCTGCCAGTCGCTGGCGGCCAAGTACGCATTCCACACGTTGCTGTCGCACATGTGCCGCTCCGCGTGTTTGGTGCGCTTCGGGTCTGTGATAGTGTCAACGACGGACTGCACCTCCTCCAAGGAGGCGCCCATGCGCCGCACTGCCCGCAGAAGTTCCCCCCACGCGATGGACGGCAAATACATCCGCTTCACGTCCTTCGGCACGAAGTGTTGTGCGAGGGCAACGACATCGCGCCACGTTGTGCCTTCATCCGGCTGCAGAATGCTGAAGATCGGGGCGGCGGCAACAGGCAGAAGGGGAATGGGGGACGAAGTTGCCAGCGACACAACGGTGTGGAACGGCGGGCACGCGCCATCATCGCCGCTCAAGACAGTGTGCGCGCGAATGGACTCGCACAGCACCGCAACGTGCATGGAAATGGCCTCGGCTCTCTCCAGAGAGTCGTCCACCTGCCACTGCTGCTGCTGTTGTTGTTGGTACGGCAACACACACTCGTGGTACAGCTGCAGCGCGAGAGACCAGTTCCGCTCTGCGGCTGTGTGAAGCAGAAGCGCAAGCAGCCGCCGCGTGATTGCAGCATCTCCCCCACACGCGGCCTTGACGCACACGTCCAAGTTTCCCGTAAAGACGTGCATCTTTGGCGCCGGCCACCGCCCTCCGCGTTCGTCGTGGTGAAGGTGCTCAATCAGCTGCCGGACCCTCGCGTCCCGCACAGGAACGCCACGCCGCAAGGCCTCCGGCGCGAAGGCGGGCGGCGTCGTTGCGCCACGCACGATACAATGCAGGTTGCGGTCCATCGCGGTGCACGCACGCTCCACAGCGGGGAGCCCCTCGCGCCACGCCCCAAATGCCACGGGTTGCGGCGACGCCCCCAGTTGCACGAGCTGCTGCGGTTGTCGCGAAGCTGCATCCACACGAGCGGCATCCACCGTGACGAGCAGCGATTGCTCGACGGCGGCGCCCTCTTGAAGCCGGCGCTCGCGCATCATCCGCGCGCTCTGTGCTTCCACAAAGGCGTTGATGTACTGCGCCTTGTTGTACGGATTCGTGCCCTCCTTGGCCCTCCGCGCCTTTGTCTTGGTGACGCGTTTGCGCTGCACGTGTGCGGCTGTCCGCAGGCGGTCTCCTGCCGTGGCCCCGTCGACGAACCGTAAGAGCAGAAGCCCACTGCGACGCCACATGTTTGGAATTTCCCGCCCTTCCGTCTGCCGTGTCCGTCTCAGCGCTTGCGGTCAGACCGAGGGATACCAATAAACGTGAAGCGAGTGAGAGCAGTGGGAAAGGGAGAAAAGGTCTTTATGGGATGCATTGGGAACAGTGCAAGCAAAGGAAACACGTCAGTCTGTTGCTGTTTTTTTGTTTGGTTTAGTACCACCTCGCCAGGTTCCACTCGCTGTTCATTCAGCAAGGTGTGTTCGCAGAGAATGAGAGGTGCTGTGTTGCCAGCACGTGAACAGAGAGACATCATTACTTAGAAACGAAAACAAAAGGCAAAATAAAAAAAAAAACTACTCGTCCTCGTGACTCGGACACCGTACTGGGTCAAGCAGCATACACACTGCGTATGGCAGTCATTCCTAGTGTTCCTCTTCTCTTTCCCCTTGTTCTGCTTCATATTCTCAGCCCTCCATCCTCCTGCGACGTGAAAGGGTGGGATGAGTGTAAGGAACTACGACGCCCNCCCCCCCCCTCCTTCTCGCTGGTCATCTTCGCCCTTTCCTTCACGCATGTATCCTTCGTCGCTATCAAGCTGCACTAACGGACACCGTTGCCAGCATCAAAATTTGCTGTTGAGTATTCTCTTCTGTCCTTCTTTGCCAGGTTGTTTTTTTTTTTTATTTGTTGATCTTTCGTTTGCTGCACTGCCGTTTTCTTTCCTTCGCGTTCCTTTTTCGTTGCCCCTGCAACCTCATCAGCGCGAGGGCTCCTCCACGCCGGTCTCCGCAGCGCCGCTGAGCGTTGAAGTGTTCCTCAAGTCAGTCGACAACAACGAGGGCCGCGCGCCCCACGCAGCGCCACTAGTCTCCGCAGCGCGCCTGCTCTTCACAAGCTGCTGCTGCTGGCTACAGAAGCTCTGGGATGTCCGACAGGTCGCGCTGTCGTCACCTGCACATTCCGCCTCATCCGAAATGTAGCGGAACCCCAACCGGACGAGAATGATGCGCACCACACAGACGATAAGTGTCAGCACACTGAGATACACGGCGCCGTAGCTCCGCACCGCATCCTTCAGACGGCAGCGGCCGTAACTCTCGCAGCAGTGCGCAATGTGCCGCTTGAGCAGATCACCCCGCTCAGCAAAGCATGTGGCGTTGCAGTGACGAAGCTCAAAGTACTCATTGTGGTACCCAAGGGTAGGGAGGTACGTACTGCTGCCATTCACAATGTCGTGTGTGTTGTTATTTGTGCTGTCGCCCGGCACGATGCTAATATCACTGACCTCCATGCAATGCGTCAGTGACGATTGGTAGCATTTGCTTGCTTCAAAGTGGGCGCTGGCTCTCCGGATAAAGTACTGGTCCACTGCACCGCTGAGTGCGTAGCAGTAAAAAGCTAGTGACATGGTAGCTGCTGCGCCGAAGATGATAATAAACAACACCGGATAGTGGCGCAGCATCAGGATAAAGAGCATGGCAAGAATACAAGATATAACAGATATCGTTACTCCTAGAGCGTGTTCTGAGGTGATGTCTACCATGAAGGCAACAGTAACGCCGGCATTGATTGTGCTGATCACATCGAGCTGCACACAGGACTGCATGTACATGTGCCGCTGTCGGCGGCGCAGAATTTCTGAGTGGATGATGCCTTTCTTAAACGTCCGCCACCCAAACGACTTGGACACCGTCCAGTACGTGCAGCACGAAGCCAGAAGCAGAGCAGCGCTTACGATAAGCAGGACTTGAATGCTAAGCGCCATCTTGTCGGAGAGATAATCAAAGTTCCTCGTCAGCACAAAGTAAACAACACGAGCGACCTGAAGTAATACAGTTATAAGGTGACATATCAGCAGCCCGGTGTTCTCGTACCGTGTAGCTCGAAGGGAAAAGCAAACAGTGAGCAGTCCATTGAGAATAAAGCAAATAATACTGAAGGATATATCTGGTGTAATATCCTCATTTACCAGGCACCCCTCACACGCGGAGCCGTCATCAACTTTGGATTGGTGCTGTACACTCAGCAGCTCCTCAAGGATCATAATAGTGGCTGCCATCACAAGGATACCGGCTGCATAGCTCAGTATGCAGAGCCCCTGCGAGACGTAAGGGAGATCACCGGAGAAGACATTTAAAAAGCGCCAGAGGCGTATGATCTTCCTGCAGAGACAGTTTCTGCGGCATCCCCGTCGGTCATGGTACTCGTGTCGTGATGAAACATTGTGTTCCTCCGCATTCAGTGACGCTTCTAGCTCGGTATTGCACTTGCGAACCCCAAGGAACTCACTGCAGCAGGATGGGCAGCAGCAACAACAGAAGTAGCAGCATTCATCGCCCGAATCCCCCACTTCATCATTTGTGTTGTCCTCATTGTCGCCATTATTTCGCAACTTCACAACCTCATATCTAACTGAGTGACTCGAGTACTCCCATCGCTCGTCGTGGCTCTCGCGGTTTGACGCAGCGCCATCATGCAAGTTCAACACTGTGTCGGTGCCTTTGAGCGGATGCCATCGGCCGACCCGCTGACCGGAACCACACACCATCGAAGGGTCGAAGCTCGACCGCTGGAGAGCACCTTCATCGGCGCTATCCATCCTAGGGTGCGGGTGTCGCGGCACACTTATGGGATAGCGCAATGTCCGTAGGTCCAGTTGTTCCGCCTCCTGTGTTGCCATCGGGGTGCTGCGGTCACACGGCTCCTTTTCAGAGCTGGTATCTTTCTTGTCATCAGTATCGTTTGAAGGAGTGGGCAGGCACGAACCACCCTCCTCTTCGCTTTTTCCAGACGGCATGATGAACTCTAAGGGAGGTGAATGCCGAAGGTTCTCCTCGGCGTCCAGCGTAAAAAAGTAAGCCGCCATACTATTCCGCATAGAGCTAGGAGTGCCTCGAGTTGACAGATTGACTGGGCCTAAATCATCTTCTACACCTATGTTTGGGCCCGTCATCTTGGGTGCGTGGTCGATCTGCTGGCGTTGAGTCTCCTTATGAATACAACTCCACCTTTGGCGCAGGAAAGTCTCCATGGGGGATGGAAAACATGCTAGAGGTGGGGTGAGTGAGTTTGGTATTACGGGTGTGCAATGTGCCTGTAGGCAGGAGCACATCTGAGGTGTACTCCCCGCTTGTTTTTCTTCAGAGTTTGCTGGTGTGACGGCACACTGATGTTGCAGTCTCACTGCAGCTGTCTCCTGGATCACGGGGCTCACACCTGCTGCAGCCGTAAGGGATGAAGAAAGGGCTGGTGCCACGAGCATCTGCTGTGGTTGCGGTTGCAGTCCTTGCTGGGGCCCCTGTGGCGCCGCCTCCTCGTCATTGCCACCACGACTGCCCAGCATTCTCAGCCGGCGATTCGGAGCGCAATGCAGTGAATCAACGTCCTTCAATGGGACCCTGTGAGATTTACCAAAATGACTTCTCCAAGTATATGCGGGTCAAAACTGAGGCCCAAGAAAATGGCAACGGCAAAATAAATAAAAAACGAGGGGTAAGAGCAACAACAGCAACAGCAACAAAATTAATAAGAGACCAATCTAAATTTTATTTTCTGCAGGCGGTACAACAGGCCAGGAATGACACGCGCTGTGCCGAAATTTCCGGTAGAGAAACCCCCACAACGAGGCGGAGTGGCAATGCTTTTGTGGGGTAGAAAGGGAGACACACAACAGCGCACACCGATCAAAAGCAAAACGCCATCCAAGCCCACACACATAAACACACAAAAAAAAAAAAGATGGAAGTGATACACATTGACGGACAATCATGTTTAGGTGGTTCCAAGATACCGCAAAGGAACACACCCACTGCACGCTGTTCAGTCTCTCCCTCCGTGTATGTGTGTGTGTGTGTATATGTGTGTCTCGTTTCTATACATTCTCCAGAGCAGGCGAGACCGACGGCGACAGCGACGGTACAGGCGGCACCAAAATCGCCGGCAGCGGTTCGCCCGTCACAATATTGTAGCCATGTGGGTTGTTGCGCTCCACCAACCGCCGCTGCCGCGCAAAGTATATGTGCTCCTCCACCGCGTGCTGGTGCTCGTGGCGGCGTAACGCCTCTAGCGTCCTGTACTGCCGCGTGACAGTGTCTCGCCCGTCCCCTGGCTCGTTGCGGATGGAGAGGCCTGCTATTTGCGCCTTGTGGCGCTGCTCCCTCTGGAACTCCTCCTCGCGGCGCTCCATTAGTTTCATCTCGCGCTCGTTGTGGCGCTGCTGCCGCACCGCGAGTGCGCACTGCTGCCGCTTCGCCTTCTCGTTGCGCTCGCGCCGCAGCTCCTCCGCCGGCGTGAGCAGTGGGTGCAGGCGGTGGGCATCGCTCATGTAGCCCTCGCCGCCGGGCTGCTGCTCCATGGGGTGGAGGTAGCCGGGGTAGTGCTGCAGCGCGTCCGCTTCGTGGCGCCGCAGGCCCCGCCGGCCGACGGGTTTCAGGTAGAGCGGCGGCTCTGAGCCGAATAGCATCGCGACGTTCTTTCTTTCTTTCTCTCTTTGTGTACGGGTGTAGTTCCCTGCGACCTTATGTTTCCCCGTCCAGTGGCTGCCCTAAAGGCCACACAGTCCAATGCAAAATACACACAACGGGCCGGTGACGCAATTTAGCCGGAGCCCTGGCTGGAATTGCTGCGGCGCCCCGTCCAGAGCTGCAGAAGAATGAGAGGAAGCAAAAACGCAATCATGCCTAGACGTGGATGCGCAGGCATCCATGCACACTGAGGCAGCAGAGCTGTGCTAGCAGGCATCGAGGCAACAGTGGGGCTGCACCCACACCCGACAGCACCACCTCCAAACGTGCATAGTGCACCTTTTTTTTCTGCTGCGGGTTTCGCGCTTCGAGTGTGAGAGCAGTTTCGTTTAATCTAAGCAGGGAAAATAAACGGAGGAGTTAACGAGTGTGCAAAGTACTGCGCAGAAGCAGCGCAAGAGAAAAGCAACAACGACAACGAAAAAAAAAGGGGGGAGTGGGGTGTAGAAGAGCACAGGGAGGGAAGTAGGAAGCATGAAGCTGCGAATAGGGCGCAGCCGCTCCTCACACATCCCCCCCTCCCCCTTTGTTTTGAGGCATACGCTCAGCGCCTCGCCTCCTCGTGCTCCCGGGCAACAGCACCGCTGCCCTCCACCCCACCCATGCGCCGATGCAGACCGGTGTGTGCTGCAGAGGTGCTGTTGGCTTCTGTTTATCATTTCTCCTTTCATTTCATTTTCCTACTCCTCCTCCTCCTCCTCCTCCCNCTCTCGCTCTCCCTCTCTACATCACCTAGGCCTGCTTCCCCCAATTCATAGACACATATCCCCACACACAGTGAGAGAAAAGGCGAGGAGTACAAGCACGCACGCATGCGCAGAAGCAAGAGTACCAAGAGAGGAATACTACTTTTTTTCTTATGCTTTACCTATTTGCTTCACACACACACGCACAAACCCAGATTCTCTTCTGTCCATTTGCTGATTATTAGCATTAGTCTCTTTTCTTTCTCGCTCCCTCTCCCCCACCTACGCTCTTGATCTCTGTGTGTATATTTTTACTGTGCCTCTCCGCTGCCAGAGCCAGTTATGCGCACCGCAGGGGGGCCTGCCTTCCCTGCAGCCCGTCAGTGTCGACGCACGCCCCTCCTCCACCACCACACGCCGCTCGGCCGCTTAAATTCGTTGTGGTTCCTTCTTTCACATTTTTGTTGTTGATTTGGGACCTCTACTCCGTTGAGGGGACAGAGCCGCATTGCGAACTACTTGCATTTGGCCTATGAGTTGGTTCCTTCTCTCTCTCCCTCTCTTCCTCGCATATTTCTTCACCTGTCTGTGTAAGCACAAGCGTATGTGTTTATGCAGCACCCTGTTACAGCTGCCAGTGATGGAAAGAGAACCCCCCACACACACACAGACAGGCAGACAGACAGACAGACAGACAGACGGACAGAGATTACCACCATCAAAGCAACAATTTAAAAAGACCTTTCTTTCTCTTCGTTATTCACGCGTTCTGCCATCCCCTCTGCATCTTCTTGTTGTGAAAGGGGAAGAGCTGGGGGAAGTAACGCGGCGGCTTGCAGCAGGAAGTCGCAGGCGACAGCGGCAACGCATCCACATTGGCAGAAATCTTGAGTACAGGGGTGTGAAGGAACCAAGCGCACACACACACACACACAGAGAGATGAAAATAAGACAACAGGAGCCGACAAACGTAAAAACAAAAAGCTCTGGGTGCACCCAGACAACAATAACAACAACAAAGACNGTGAAAGGGGAAGAGCTGGGGGAAGTAACGCGGCGGCTTGCAGCAGGAAGTCGCAGGCGACAGCGGCAACGCATCCACATTGGCAGAAAGCTTGAGTACAGGGGTGTGAAGGAACCAAGCGCACACACACACACACACACACACACAGAGAGAGAGATGAAAATAAGACAACAGGAGCCGACAAACGTAAAAACAAAAAGCTCTGGGTGCACCCAGACAACAATAACAACAACAAAGACACGTTTCGCCAGACTAATTCCACGTGTTGGTCCCACTTATTCCTTGCTTTCTCCTCTTTCTTCCTCCGCTTTCCTAACCCCTGCATCTGTTCAATCCGTGTGCCCTCAGACTCCCACCACTTCTTGCTGCGGGAGCACGGCGGCAGCGATGCCTCTCAAAAAACTATAAGAAGGCGCCGCGCAATCAAGCCAATCAGAGAGCAGCACCCAACAACAAAAAAAACACAAGCGCCGGACCGACCAAACGACCAAAACACCTGCAGCATGAGCATCTCGTCAATGCGTGCACGCGCACTCCACTATCCTCAAGTGGGGTACGGTCAGTCCTGGTCATTGCTTGCATGCAGCTGAGCTTGAAACGCCACACAACGTGCCGCCTCGTCGTCGGGGATCGGAGCGTCCCTGAGCGAGTCCAACCCGCGCTGCAGCGCCTGTTCGGCATCTTCCTCCGACGGCGGGCTCCCCACATCAGCCGGAGCAGCCATATCGACAGTCGTAGCAATGTTAGAGGTGGTGGCAGTGGCTGTGAGCTGCTGCTGTCGATTCGGCACATGCACAAGCGGCGGCGGTGGGGTGCGGCCCTCCGCTACAACCCGTCGCAAAGGCGGCGGCGCCCCGGCGGACGCCGGCATTAACTGCAGCAGCTCTTCCGGCGCGCAGGGCAGCGGCTCCTCGTGGAAAAAGGGATGCTCGAGTGCTTGGCGGGCGGAGGGGCGGCCGGCCGGGTTCCAGCGGAAGATGCGCTTCAGCAAGTCGAGCCCGCTCGCTGGCAGTGTTGGCCCCGTGGCGTAAGCGCACGACGAGAAGACCTGTTCGAGTGTGCACTCACGGTTATAATGGTTTATCGAGCGCATCAGCTGCACTACGTTCGGCATCTTGTACAGCCCACTAAAGCTCTCTTCGGTGGGGATGCCAAGAATGTCGCACAACTTGGCGAAGTGCTTTGTTTCCTCCTCCGCTCGAAAGAGCGGCTCCTTGAGGAATATTTCCGCCATGATGCAGCCCAGCGACCACACGTCCATCTTGTACGAGTAGTCGCACACACCAAAGTGCAACTCCGGCGCGCGGTACATTAGAGTGACAACAGTAGGAGTCAGCGACTCGCCCTCACGGTAGTGGCGGCCCAGTCCAAAGTCGCATAGCTTCACAACGCCTTGGGGATCAATGAGAATGTTAGAGGTTTTGATGTCGCGGTGCAAGATACGATGATCGTGAAGGAAAGCCAAGCCTTCAAATAGTTGTTGCATGATGCACTTTGCACGAGAGAGAAAAATGCGAGCTGCATCTGGGTGTTTATTTCTGGAGCTCAGATGCAAGTACATGCCCTTCTCGTCACGAAAGTGAATTAACGATTTGAGGTTGAATGGGCAGTATTCCATGACCAGGTATACATCTTCTACCTTCTCATTGCTTTCGAGCTGCCCCTGCGGCAGCGCCAGAGCCCCATTCGAGGAAGCGGTGTTGGGAGCATCACTGCTGCTGTTTTTGCTCGGCGGCACCTGCTCCAAGTCCAGAGTGCCCTCACCACCCTTATCACGGTGGGGCATGCTGCTGTTGCCACTGCCGCTACTGCTCACCACTCCAGCCCCTCCATGTGCCTGCCTTTTCGTGTCAGCCTTCTCAGATGTAATCACAACCTCTCGGGCATGGACAATGTTCGGGTGCCGCATCCGGAGCAAAAGATCAATTTCCCGCAAGAGAAAAGGTGGAAACCCGACCTGCGACTCTAAACGCCAACGCTTCCTGACCTTCTTTAATGCATATAATTTTACTCCACCGGCCTCCGGCACCTCACTATTTTTGCCAAAGGCGGAAGATGTTGCCTTTTCGGCTTTGTACACAACACCGTACACACCCTCTGCAATCTTGCTTTTCAGCACGTACTCGTGGTTAGAGCGGCATGGCACACGCGGCTTTCCAGAGACGAGAATGCACTCACCTCTATGGCCGCCGCTCCTGTTGACCGAGCCATGAGCATCTCCGTTGGCTGTTTCTCCTTTTCCCACAAGCTCCTCTCTCGAAATAAGATACTTTGCGGCTATGTCAGGCCAAAAGTAAGAAGCTGCAATGGAAAGAGAATTATCAACAGGGGTTTTTTTTCTTACCTCTGTTTCATTGGAGATTGAGGCGCCATCCAATTGATGGTCGCCTTCCTGTTGTTCTTGTTGTTGTTGCTGTTGCTGCTGCCTCTCAATAACATCGTCATTATTCCCTTTGGTTAGTTCTTCATAGGAGCGGGCCCGTTTCCGACGCAGTGCGTTCTTGTGGCCTCTGCATACCAGCATCTCAAGCAACTCCACTGCGTTTTTCGTCGTAAATGGTGCACACAGTGGATCTGTCTCGCAGTCCCTGTACTTCAGCACCGCGCTGGGTGGAGAGACGAATGGCGGCGGCAAATTGGCGATGGGGATGGATGCAACACCTCTTCCCACCGGTGCGGTCTGCTGGGTTGGGAATGATGCGCCTTGTGCATTTGCTGTTGCTGGGGCCGGCACTGGCTGGGGACTTATGGTGGCTTCTCCCCCTGGAGTCACACGCGATTTTAACTTCTCTAGCCGCTTTCGGATATGGTCCGACATGATGTGATGATGGCGCTGTAATTATTGCCTCCTCCGCAGATTTTGTTGTTATCGTCGTCGCTGCACTGTCTTTTTTTTTGTGATTGTTGGTGTCTCTTTTTTTTTTTCTTTGTTGTTTGGATTTTGCTTTTGCGAAGTGGATTCAAGAGGAAGAGCTCAACTCTTTTTTTTTTCTTTTAAGTTCTCTGCTGATCGTTAGTGCAATGTCCCTCTATCAGGCACGACTACCCGGCCTCTCTCTTTGCAGGAGCCTCGCTTAACAAAGTGAAGAGAATTCAAAAGGGAAGAAGCAAATACATCACGCTAAAAGTTTGTGGTGTCTTATCCCTGCGGAGACACACACACACACACACAGGCACACGGGCACATCCAAACGAGCATGGGAGGAATCACGCCAATATATATTCAGCACACGTATATATGTATATATATATACCCAACGGAATTGAAGGAGGGCGAGGAGGAAACAAACACACCTGCAGACGAGAATCCTCCACGCGCCACCACTAAAACTTGTGCTCTTCTACATTGTGCGAGCTGTTCACACTCTACTTACATCAATGCCGCACGTGCCGCCACCTCTTTCTCCCCACCCACCCCCCTGGCATCTTCCTCAACTTCGGCGTGTTGCCCCCTCCACATGGACGTCGTCTCACACCCCCACCCCCCACCTCATCCTAAGCAGCGGTTTTCATAGCTTTGTTTGCCGCTTGTGATAGAAGAGTGCGTCGGCCAGCGCCGTCACCGGGTCTTCCGGGCGCTGCCGCACGACCTGCGCCATGAGTGGCGTGAGGCTCGGCATTACGTAGCGCATTAAGTACATGTTCACTGGAATGGAATCGACGCCAGCCACCGTTACCAGCGTCTCCTTCGCCTCGTAGTAGCGAAGTATGCGCCGCTCCTCCTCAACGGCGGCAACCTCGTTGGAGTGGGCAACGTCAGCGAGCACCTCCTCAACAGCACAGAGCCGATCCAGTTCCTTCTCCTCGTGTCTGAGTTCCAGCACCAGACGCGTGCGCGCCTCCTCCGCATCTTGCATCTCGCCGATCACCATGCCGCAACTTCCCCGGCCAATGTTGCTGAGGATGCTCCAGCGGAGGGTCTCGCAGTATGTGCCGAGGTCCGCTGTCGCGGTGACGTTGGAATTAGAGGTGGCGTCGTGGGATGCACCCTTCTTGTGACAGACTGCTGCTGGCACCGCAGGGAGGGCAGACACGATCAGCACGGAGGCCTTGCGTGGTGCCTTCTCACCGCTGTCGTCACCAACCTTTTCGGCGGCGGCGGCGTCGTCCTCTACCTTTTCTGCCGCCACTGTCTGGAACCAGGAGAGCAGCGACTCGCATGGTGGTGCTGCAGGACGGTTGTGTGTCTTGTAGCACGTGAGCTGCTCATAGAAGTCCTTCGCGGCGACGCCCGCCCCTGCTGCGGACATCTGCGCTCGCAGAACGCCATCGCTGCAGGTCAAGGAGATGAAGCAGTCAGGGAAAAAGGCGTCGTGTGTTGGGGCGAGCGCCTCCTCAGCCGACAGGAACGATCTGCCGGTCATGGCCTCGAGCATCTCCTGCTGCTGCGCGTCGTCCAGCTCAGCAAGGTCAGGCAACGGGAATGTGGCATCGCATGGTGCCTGCGGCGCTCCTCCCGCCTCTTCCTCTTCCTCGCGCTCTCGGCGCAACTTGGGCCGCTGCAACTCCTTCTGTTCGTCGGTGTCGGCTAGGAATATAAGGCGGGCCTGCCGCACGCTCTCGGGGAAGCCGTCGAGGATGTAGCCCTGGCTTCTGCAGTCATTCTGACGTAGCCGCCAGCGCACCATCACAGCGAGCGCCTCGTCGAGGTAGCGAATAACTGGCGGCGGTGCAGCTGCGGCAGCGGCAGCGGCAGCGGCAGCGGCAGCAGCAGCGGCCTTTTCTTTCTCTCGCCGCTTCCTCCTTCTGCTGATGCCATCGTCATCGTCACCACCATATTCCTCGTCTTCTTCCTCCTCTTCCTCGTCGCCGGGACTCTTTGGGCGTGGCGGGAACTCGCCGTCCACAAGGCGCAGCGTCAGCAGTTTCGTGGCGAAGCGGTACTCCTCACGCAGCGTTGCGATGCGGCGCCGCTCCTCCTCATTCAACTTCCGCGCTGCTGCTGCGGCCTTTGCGTCGGCCTCCTCGTCATCGCCGTACTCCTCCTCCTCCTCCTCTTCTTCTTCCTCGTCCTCGGGTGGCTGCAGCAGCAGGGCTTCCGTGATCGTCTCGGGCACCTGTTCGCCTGCATTATCCGTCTCGCCCGGTCCCTCTTCATCGCCCTCCTCCTCCTCCTCGTCGCCGTCGTCTTCACCGCTCTCGGCAGATGCAGCAGCATCGTCATCTTCACCATCACCCTCCTCATCCTCCTCTTCTTCTTCCTCACCTTCCTCGGCCTCGGCGCGTGCACGCTTTGCACTCTCCAGCTCGCGGCGAATCTGCTCCTCGTGGGCCTCCTTCCGCCGCGCACGCCGTCGCAGCAGAATCTCCACCAGCTCCGCACGCACGCTCGCCACGTACGCCTCGTACGCCGCCGTGATACTCTCCATCGTCAGTCGCGGTATGTTGAACACACCCGCCAGCCTGCACGCAACGTCGTTCCTCCCGCTGAACGGCGGGCCGGAGATAACAAGGCGCAGCGGATTCAGCAGCCGCTCCGCCTTGAACTCCTGCACCACCTTGTCGACATTCGCGAAGAATCCGCCAAGGGAGACCCACTCCGCCTCCTCGAGCAGCGCGAGAACGGCACCGGGCTCGCAGCGCATATTCACGGCACTGAACCAATTTGCCAACCCGTGCGGCGGCTCCACCACAAGTCCTTCCTCCGCGTTTGGCGACCCGCCCTCAGCAGCCATCGCCTGCCTGTCAGCCTCCAGCTGAGACATAGAATTCTCTATTATCCGAAGACTTGCCATGAGACGATACTCGCGGTCCTCCTCGTCCTCCATTTCTTCCTCGCGCCTCCGGATACTCTCGACGGCGTGACGCTCACGTCGAATCGCGTCCTCCACCATCTTTTCCCGCATAGACCGCTCCAAGAATTCTTGCTGCCGTTGCGTCTCCATGAAGGACTGGTGCTCGCGGTCAATTGCGGGGTCCGTGATTTCCAGATTACCGCCAATGAAATCTTGTATGCCCTGCAGGAGCTCCGCCTGCGTGTTGTTGCCGTGGTCGACGGCGAACATGTAGCGGTCCTCCAGTGTGTCGTATGAGGAGCCGACGAGGTAGATGATACGTGAGAGGTCCTTGACGTGTATGGTGGGGACGTAGTTGGACCCGTTGCCGTACTGCAGCAGCGTCTCGTGGCGCCAGGCGGCGTGGAAGTACGGGGCCAGCAGGTCCTCACCGCCGCCGTACGGCAGGCCGGCCCACAGCACGTACGTGTGCAGCGTCTCCGAGTTGGCGTGCTTCACCGCGTGCTCGAGCTTCCGCCACACGTGGTAGCGCAGGTCTGGGTAGCGCTTGTGGTACTCCTCCTCCGTCCACACCTTTATTTCCAGCTCCTCTTCCTCCTCCTCCTCCTCCTCCTCCTCTTCTGCTGCCTCCGTGTCACCGTCGTCATCGTCCTCGCTGTGGGCACGCGCAGCTTCCCGCTCGGCGCGTCGCGCCGCTCGTTCCAACTCCCGCTCGTGGATGTCCGTCTGCGTCCACGTGAGCACGTTGGACACGAGCACGAAGGTCTTCTCCACCTCGTAGTGTGTGCCACGCAGAACCTTGATGGCGCAGTCAGCCTCGAACGCATCCTCCTCAAGAATGGCGATGATGATGTCGTAGGACAGCACACGGGCGCGGAACACCTCGTCACTGATCATGCCGTGACGCGGCATGACAGAGTTGAGAAACGGCTGCATTGTGGGTGGCACCGCCGCCCCGTTTGCCTCAGAGTCATCACCACCACCACCACCACCACCACCACCAACGCCACCAGCGGCGGGAGCGGCATCATCAGCGGCTGCCTTCTGGTGCGGCTGCCATTGCGGGTGGTGGTAGAGCGTGCCGTCGATGAGGTACTCCTTCGCCTCGAAGAAGCGGCGGCAGACTTGGATGCCCACGAAAGAGTCGGCGTTCAGCACCAAAACGCGCTTCATCTATTTGCAAGAACCGCAAAGGCTTTTTTTGTTATATGTTCGTCCGTCTAGACCCAGACTCCCCTAGCTCTCTCTCTCTCTCTCTCCCTGGCACAGAGGCACAGCCACTCTATCTATTCGGCGGCTTCTACCTTTGATAACGCAAGCAAACAGACAAAAAAAAA